CTCACTTGGTAGACCAGGCTGGCCTCGAACTCACAGAGATCCGCCTGCCTCTGCCTCCCGAGTGCTGGGATTAAAGGCGTGCGCCACCACCGCCCGGCAAGAAGAATTTCTTATATGAGCACTATATTTCTATCATTTCCATTCCTATCTCTCTTCCCTAAACTTCCTCCCATGTGTCCCAACTCCCTCTCAAATTCATGACTTCTTTAATTACTATTATTATATTTTATCTATTTGTGTTATCATAACTGTTATATTGTTTTATGTTGTCTATATATGTATACATATGTATACATAAGTATAGTGTTCTGAGTCTCTTTAGTGTTGCCCCATGTTTCATTTTGTTCAGGGATGACCAATTGGTATTGGGTAACCTATCAGAAGTTCGCCTGTGGAAAAGACTGATTCCCATCTCAGTAGCCCTTAACCAGTTGTGGGTTTTCTGATGATTTCCATATATTGCAAAAGGAAGCTCCTTTAATGAGGAATAATAGCTATACTTAACTATGTGTATGAGAATAAGCATTTTAAATGAATTAGAAAATAAACTGGTTTAGTAACATGGCAGTAGTAGTATGTACTCCTCTGGGATTTCATGACCTGTAGGACCAATGAATTCCCATCTATTGAAAGGGCCTTAAAACCAGTTAGATGGTTACTGGTTATCCCCCAAATACAAAGGCTACTACTGTACTCTTGAGGTTATCCTGCTGGGCTGGTCATTGTGGTTTGTATATCTTACGACTGATTGATTGCTTTTCAATCTTGGCAGCTTGCCTAACGTCTTCCAGTATTGTGGGAGCTAGACCCCAGGAAGGAGGCTTCCATGTCAGTTCCAGAGACTCCTACAATCTATGCCCCTCCTCTACTGTACCTATCCATAAGCCTCTTTCTTAGTTGATCTCCTCATTCTCTCTGTTCCCTTATACCTAGTTTACCTCTCTGTGTACTGAATTGAAGCACACATAAAAGCTTAAAATCTAGCATCCACATGCAAGAGGAAGCATGCAACATTTGTCTCTTGAGGCCAGTATGGCATCACTTAGCAGGATTACTATGATTCAATAGCCACTATAAATTATGAGCACCATAAGAAAAACATTTTTTAATATTTTTAAAGATTTGCTTTAAAAATGTATTTCTACACTAGAAGAGGGAAAGATGTTTGACTATAGAGGAACAGTGTTTTCCTTTCCTTGTAGCATTTTGGCCCACCTAGAATTTTATTACTCTCTGAGAAACAGAAGCAGATTCTACATAGAAAGTGTATTTGCAGAACTTCTGGGGTACCTTGTTTTGGTGACAAAGACATCCACCATTCTGCTCTGTGCATAATATTCAATCATGATTGTCTCATGATTGCAATGAATATTGTAAATAAATGCAATTTTGTTCAACAATAAATTTTAACAATACTCAAAATTTAAAAACCAGTCCCCCATTGTTGTTGTGGTTATATTTTACTCTTTACTCTTTTGGGGGGGGCACAACCCATCTTCCAAATAACTCACTTAGAAATGAAAAAGGAGAGGATATGATTTTTTATACATTTCTTTGTAACTTGTTGGTAATTTATGCTATAATACCCAAAGTAGAAAATTCACAAATCCTATTGGTATAAAAAATTAATTTGGCATGCTTAGTGTCAGCAATCTTAGAAAGCATAAGTAGCTCTGATTTGGAGGATTAGCACAGGAGAGGACTAAGGACTGGAAGGACCTATTTGTCTACATCTCTACACACTTGACTGAAGGATGCCTACTAGATCTGGAAGCAAGCTACTCATGATGATCTGTTTAAAATAAGTTTCTTCTCTATAGTGGAAAGTGAATATGCAGAGTCATTGTGCAATGGAAAAGTATGGTGCAACTCCAGAAAGAGGGTTTACAGGGCATGCAAGCCCAGATCTATGTGTGCCTGGAATGTTCTCCACTGCTTTGCCTTACAGGACAACATGGAGAACAACTTTTTGTCTCTATGAACTTTGATTCAATGGGCCAAATTATAGATACCTTTCAGGGATTGGGGTAGACAGAAAATATGGAGATAATCACAGAAGCAAGTACTACATATCTCTTATGGCTTTTACAGGTGTCTGATGCAATATGAAAAGAAGAGATTATTAACCTACCAAAATAGTGTAAACAACACATACCCCACATGTTGCAGAACCTACAGGCCATTTGGAATGGAATATTGTGCTACATAGCTTGGGCTATGTTGGGAGAGTGTCTAAAGAGTCAGACTCTTTGCTTGAGAACATCATCTGGTCCTAGTGTTTGGTCAGGAGTTTGGATTTCTGCCTTCAGTGAACTCATAAATCATCAAGATTGTCATGGTCCCCAACTCAAAACTGTGTAAGGCAAACCTTGCCTGACCTACTCTTTCTGCTTTGCCACTTCATTGAG